GAAACAAAATTTCATCGAAATAGAAAATATATGAGAAGTAAAAAAATTCATTAAGAGCTTTTTGTTTATACAATGATAAAGTTGTGATAGTAGCTCTATCATAATTTCATTTTTCTAATTCTATTACCGAAACTTGTCAATATATCGATTCTACTCTTCTTCATTTCTTTCATCAAAGAATGAATGTTTCGGTTGAAATGCTTCAAACAACACACACACACACACACATACACACACACACATACATACACACACATACACACACACACACATACACATACACTATATAAACATGACATATTGAAGGCTGTCAATTTTGATTTAGAAGATAGTGTGTGTGTGTGTGTGTGTGTGTATTTTGAAAAACGAAGAGAGTATATGTAATGTGCAAAAGTTATTGCAAAAATTATCTGCAACATCAAAAAAACTACTTGAGACTTTTGAAACAGATTAATTGAAATTTTAAAATGAAAAAATTATGAGTTGAAATTTTAAAATAAACAAAAATGATTAGCTGAAATTTTAAAAACAAAAAAAAAACGATTAATTGAAATTTTGAAAATAAAGAAAATCGATTAATTGAAATTATAAAAACGAAGAAAATCGATTAATTGAAATTGTAAAAACAAAGAAAATCGATTAATTGAAATTATAAAAACAAAGAAAATCGATTAATTGAAATTATAAAAACAAAGAAAATCGATTAATTGAAATTTTGAAAATAAAGAAAATCGATTAATTGAAATTATAAAAACGAAGAAAATCGATTAATTGAAATTATAAAAACAAAGAAAATCGATTAATTGAAATTATAAAAACAAAGAAAATCGATTAATTGAAATTATAAAAACAAAGAAAATCGATTAATTGAAATTTTGAAAATGAAGAAAATCGATTAATTGAAATTTTAAAAAAACAAAAAAAAGATTAATTGAAATTTTAAAAACAAAAAAAGCGATTTGTTGAAATTTGAAAATGAAAAAAAAAACGATAGGTTGAAATTTTAAAAACAAAAGAAAATTTTGTTTAAAAAACAAATAAATGTAAAACAATTAATTAACATTGGAAATTATTTAAAAAATATATTTTATGAAATGATAAATTGTTGAATGGTTAAAAAACTTTTAGAGGAATATTTATCAACAAGAATTTGTATAAAGTATTTTATAATTATTAGATATTAAAAGACAGTTAATGAAATTAGCAAACAACGATCAATAATTGATAAAATGATTTTTACTTGTAAATATTAATCGGAATAAAGAAAGATAACTAAATAAATCCAAAATGATAAGTCTTTTTGTCGTAAATAAATTTTCTTCTTTTATTTCACTTTAATTATTATACTATTTTCTTCCTTACTTTAATTATTACTTTATGCAAGTAAGATTGATAGAATATAAAATAATAATTATGAAAACAATAAAATATTAATATAATGATTATTTTCCCAAAAAAAAAGTATTTACAAATGAAACGAAAAATAAATTACACAACTTCAACAATAATATCACAATCATATTATTTCTTTCTTAACCAGGTAATATTTGGTAAGATAATATTTGTATCAGATGGCATTCGATCAGGTGACATTCGATCAAATGACACTCAATCAGGTAACTAACACTCAATCAGGTGATAGTTAGTAGAAGAACTTGGTAAGATGATACTTGTATCATATGATACTCGATTAGGGTGATACTCAATCAGGTAACACCTCAATCAGATGATATTTAATTAGAAGAACAGAGAGAAATTTTCCTTTCTTAATGTGATTTATAATTAATGATTTGATACTCGGTGATACTCAATCAGGTAACACCGCAATCAGATGATAGTTAATTAGAAGAACAAAGAGAAATTTTCCTTTCTTAATATGATATATATAATTAATGATATCTGTCAAAATAGCAAAAAACACTTGATGATGAACTAAAAGAGGAAATATAGGAAAAATAGACATTTCAGATGACACTCAATCAGGTAACACTCAATCAGATGATAGTTAATTAGAAGAACAAAGAGAATTTTTCCTTTCTTAATATAATATATATATAATTAATGATATCTGTGAAAACAACAAAAAAAAAACTTAATGATAAACTAAAAGAGGAAAAAATAGAAAAAATAGACATTTCAGATGACAATCAATCAGGTAATACTCAATCAGGTGATAGTTAATTAGAAGAACTTTTTGTTGATTTATTTATTTACATTTATTTTATTGCAATAAATTTTAACAAACTATTTCATTCATTTATCCATTACATAATGAACATTGTTTCTCACTATTCCCAAAATTTTTAAAAGTGCTACTGAAATCCCCTAGGGAATGAAATATGCATATCGGAGGAGATAGAGAGAGAATAATTCTTCAAAATATAATTTCAAGAACGAAATATATGAGAGATTAAAAATGTCAATCACAATTGGTTTTAGTTATATCTTATCGCTTATTATATAATATTTCCGGAAAGTTGAGATTTTGAAGGAAATAGTAAATTATTTCATTGAAATTTGAGTTTGAAGAAAATAGTAATTGCTTCATTGAAATTTTAAAAATTTAAAAAATTAACATCTTTAAGGAAAATGAAAATTATTGAATTCAACTGATAGGAGGCAATCTCGAAATTAATTTTATAAAATTTTTAATTAATCAAAAAATGTCCGTAAAAATTTTATTTGTATTTAAGAAATATCTATTGTTTATTTGCGGAGAGATAAAGGGAATAAAAGAAGAAATGGTAGAGAGTTAATTAAGCAAAATAGGTAGAAAGAAATTCTGTGTGACTATTTGCGCCAACCAATAATTATTATATTAATAAAATTTAATGAGAGCGCAAAATTCTCAGCTTCATTTTTTAGGTAATTATTTTTTTTTATCTAACAAAAACAAAAAGAATTTAATATCCGAAAATTTTCAACCAAACGAATTAATTACAAAATAGGAATTACAATATGCTAAAAATGGATTAATCAAGAAACTAACTCATTTTCAAACAAACCTAAAATTCACAATAATGAAAATTATTCAAATAAAATCTAAACTTCAGCATTATCATATTTCGACAATGATAAGTGATTACAATTGACTATATTATCATTTCCAATCCTTTTTTTCAATCGTTAACGATATCAATTAAAACTATAATTAAGATAGTTAAAAGTTAAAACATAGTTAAAACATAGTTAAGCACATTGAAACATAGTTAAAACATTAAGTTTAAATATAATAAAATTAAAACAGTTAAAGTTAAAATGATACTATAGTTAAAACATTTAAGCAATAAAATTCTAGATTATTAGATGACTTTAACCGTTAACATTTATAATAGTAAAATTACGATTACAATAGTAAAATTACGATTATAATAGTAAAATTACGATTACAATAGTAAAATTATAATTAATAATGGATGAATGATATAACAATAAATTGAAACGAGTGTAAATTTAAGAAATATTTCAACTAAAAGGAAACTAACGAATTCTTCAATGAAATATGATTTTAAATGCGATCGTTAACGATTAATGGAAAGCTTATCTTTTCCTCTTTCAAATAAATTACAATTATCGATTATCAACAATTAAATGATTGATATAACAATATCATAAGCAATATTGGATAACAACAAAATGATATATATTAATGAAAATATGAATTGTAAATTAAATCAAATTTCTTACTTTAAATTTTCACCATTTCTATCATATAATATTTAATAGATTTTCAATTCTTCTTTTTAATATGAAATTTTGCAAGAAGTAGCTCTATCATAAATTTCATTAATTTCTTATCACTAAATTCATTTTATCTACTTCTAAGTTTTTTTCTTTTGTGAAACACAGCAAAACTGTTAACTGTTAAGAAGATAAGATGAATGTAGGTGATAAGAAATTAGTGAGAGTTATGATAGGGCTATTTCTAAGTTATTTTATAAAAGATAGCTAAAATGTTAGCTGTAGAGAAGATTAAGATAAATTTAGTGATAAGAAATTAATGTGAATTATGATAGGTTATGATAGGAAAGCGTTTGATAAGTAAAAAGAAATGATTTGAATAATTTATAAAAGTCCTACAAATGATTAGATAAGAATTTTTCTTTAAGTTGTTTTTTTGTATGTACGAAAGTTGAAACAAATTTTAGGTACAATAATACTAGTGATACTGTAAATTTAGTTGTTTGTTGAAACTGTAAACTTAGATGTTTGTTGAAACTGTAAACTTAGATGTTTATTTGATAGATAGAGAATTGAGAATAAACAAAATTATCATTTTCAGTAAGAGAAAATTTAAAATTGAAACTGATCCATTCGTATTTAATAATCTTATATAATTGTATATTATTTGTGGAATTTTTTTTTTTTGTAAATTATGGTACTACAGTATGATAATTTTATTTATATTACCGTACAACTGTTATCAATGATATGATAAAGAAGAATGAATGAATACTTTCTATCAATATTTTTATGCACAGATCATTTCAAAATTTGTAACCGTAAAATGTCCTCAAAAAATTTGGGACATCAATTTTTCCTACTTATTCATCTTTTTTTCTTCAATTTCTTCTTTTTTTTCATCGATCTTGATTTCTTTATATCCATTGTTTCATTTCCTTTTCTTTTGAATGCTAAAATTTTAATTGCTAATTATTGTTCTGATAATAATGTTAAGAAAAAATTATCTATAAATTATTGATAAGCATTTTGTTCAATTCGAATTAAAAATTCTCCTAATTTATTTATTGATAATTTATTGATAAGCATTTTGTTCAATTCGAATTAAAAATTCTCCTAAATAATTTATTGATAATTTTATTGGTAATTTATTATTGATAATTTTATTGATAATTTATTGATAATTAAATAGATAAAATTCTTTTGTTTTAGTATAATCAAATAATTTAAAATGAAAATGATATTGTGAATGAGGAAAAATATTAATTGAAAATTTTAATTTTAAATATATTTTCAGTTATTATTGCTTGATGAAAGAATTAATTAAAAGATATACCTGTTGATTGATGTGATTCAACTTTAAAAGCAGGTGTGGTAATAATTACTGGAGGCGTTAAACCAGCATTTTGTTCAATTCGTCGTGCTATCTATAAATTGAAATTGAAATCAAAATTTATCATATTAAATAGGAAAGATAAAATTAACAAACTTGTCCCATATTTGATCTCATTTCAGGATTCAGCTGCCAGCAACTATTATGTACTATTTCCACAATCCATTGTGGTGCTTCTGATGCAAATGACATTTTGTATCCGTTTGCAACCTGTAATCAATTTTACTATATTAGCATTTCAAAAAATAAAAATAATAAAAAGCATCCCGAAAATAAAATGATATCTTAGAATTAATTTATCGATTAATATCGTTCTGATCAATATTGATATCTTGTGAATAGTAATCAATATTGATATCTGGTGAATGGTAATCAATATTGATATCTGATG